ATATCTTTGACGTTTCGAGATCGGTACCGACCTCCTCATCAGAATTTATTAGTCTAGAATACAATATAATTCGTTAAATAATATAATGCAGTTACATTTTAATAAAAAGAAAGGTAGAAGTTTACATACCAATTGATTCTGATCATAACTTAAATATTAAATCCTTAGTCAGACTACGATTACACTACAATGATAAGATATCTATAAAAAAGTATATTTTGAGTATTGTTAGGAAGGATGAAGGTTATTATTAATTTTGTTTTAAAACTATTACCTATTCATTAGAATTATTCTAAAAATTAAAAATGTTCTGAAATTAAAATCCAATAAAACCATCATTATAAATGGCAATCGCTGACTGACAGGAGTAATTTCGTGCACTTGACCCAGATGGCAGGTTCATTGCAGACGAAATTCACAACTTGGCGTAATGATACATAAAATCAAACGTGAGATACCGACATATACTAATTTTAAATTTTACAGAAAAAATTTTTTATAATAACTTAATTAATTTATTGTACGAGAAATTGATCGTTTTCGTATAGTTTCACTTCCTTTTCACAATGATATTTCTTATCAATTTAAAACACTTTTAAACAAATTTGTTTTTACAACTGTTTTTAGATCGATGTCAACTTTGGACAATTTTATTAAACTAGGTAAAGATAAACTGCCTGTTATGAACAGTTCTAATGTTGTGTATAAGATTGAATGTAAAGACTGTGACATGGCCTATATTGGAAAAACAAAAAGGCTTCTTGGCACAAGATGTAATGAACATATGAATAATTACCGTCTAAATAAAAAATATCACTCTGTGATTACTAAACATAGACTAGAAAAAATTGATGATAAATTCCATGATTTTGATTGGAAAAATATTAAAGTCCTACACCAAGAATCAAATTTAACAAAACGAAGAATCGCTGAAATGTTTTACATAAAAAAAGAACAAGAAAAATGTATAAACAAAATGACAGATTTAGAAAATTTAGATTCCTCGTACAATAAATTAATTAAGTTATTATAAAAAATTTTTTCTGTAAAATTTAAAATTAGTATATGTCGGTATCTCACGTTTGATTTTATGTATCATTACGCCAAGTTGTAAATTTCGTCTCCAATGAACATGCCATCTGGGTCAAGTGCACGAAATTACTCCTGTCAGTCAGCGATTGCCATTTATAATGATGGTTTTATTGGATTTTAATTTCAGAACATTTTTAATTTTTAGAATAATTCTAATGAATAAGTAATAGTTTTAAAACAAAATTAATAATAACCTTCATCCTTCCTAACAATACTCAAAATATACTTTTTTATAGATATCTTATCTTTGTAGTGTAATTTCAAAGCAAGCACTTATTTTATTATTTATAAAAGACATACCAGACATTTCTTCTCCAGTTATTTCCATCAGTGTCTTCGTAATTTCTTTCTATGCCTTCTTTTTTTCGTTATGTCCTTATGGGTCAGTCCACTGACTTTCGTCTAATATTGGTTGCGACCAAATTTTTAATAAATCTAGTTTTAATATATGTGAAACTTAATGATTCCCTGAGTTCCTTAACCATAATATTATGGTAAAAATTTTATTCCCTTTAAAAATATTAAATATCAAAAGTAGGAGGTTCACAATGTGATTTTGTAACCTTAAATTTTTCAATTTTTTTGGAGATATTAATTTTCAAAATTTTTTATTTACAAAGATTAATTAAAAGACTTAAAGTTAACTGACCAATTACAATTCGCTACATTTAATATATTTTTATAAAAAATGGAGCAGTTTGAATTTGGTTAGTTAACTTCAAGTCTTTTAATTAACCTTTTACATAACATTTTTTAAAAATTATTATCTCCAAAACGAAGCAAAACATCTTCGTGAGATTTTAAAGAAAGGTAAAGAATATTATAAAAAATCTTTGTGCAAAACCTCAATTTTTTCGGAGCACCGACAAAAAAGTTATAAGTAAATAAAAATCTTGAGAATATTTAAATAAATTTTTTTTAAAATCGTATATTATCCAAAAATAATGAATTTTTGCAATAATTCTTTCGTTCCTCTGTGCAAAATAAAGTGATTTATGTTTTTGGTGAGTTCCAACATCTAATTTTTAATAGTTTTTTAATAATAGCGTTTTTAAAAAAATTGAAAAATTTAAGGTAACAAAATCACATTGTAAACCTCCTACTTTTGATATTTAATATTTTTAAAGGGAATAAAATTTTTACCATAATATTATGGTTAATGAACTCAGGGAATCATCGAGTTTCACATATATTAAAACTAGATTTTTTTAAAATTTGGTCGCAACCACTATTAGACGAAAGTCAGTGGACTAACCCTTATATAGTTTACTCGATTTATTATATATTAGTGGACACTGATAGACCAACTGAATTAATATTTCATTACAATCTAATGCATCAGACATTGCCATTTTTTAAACAATATAACGGAAAATTTTATTTACAAATAATAAAATCTGGAACCTTCTTAGGTGTGATATTGAGTGTTTTTGACAGTTACTCTGAGTATATTGGTAGCATGTTGTGATTGGCTGATCCAACAGAATGTACATTCTCTTGTTTTAACCCTACTGGAAAATCCTACATAGGTCCCTACATAGAATCCTACAAGATTTCATATAAATTCTTATAGGATTCTTTATAGGAACCTGTGTAAGTTCCTATGTAGGAAACACCTATAGGAGTCATCCTACAGGATGCTTCATAGGAACCTATATGTGCTCTATAGGAACCTATAGGATAATATATATTTTTCCTATGTGAATTCCTTTAAGAAATCATGTGAGTTCCTATGTAGGATCCTTTAAAGATTCTTCTATTAGTAGGTTCTTACGTATCGTCCTATATAGGATCCTACGTGAATTCTCATAGGATTCTTCCAAGAAATCTATGCAAGTTCCTATGTAGAAATACTTTCATAGGAAAATATATATCATCCTATAGGATGACTCATAATAACAAATATTTTTTTCTATATAGGTTCCTATAAGAAATCATGTAGGTTTCTATGTAGGATCCTTTAAAGATTCTTCTATTAGTAGGTTCTTACGTATCGTCCTATATAGGATCCTACGTGAATTCTCATAGGATTCTTCCAAGGAATCTATGCAAGTTCCTGTATAGGAATACTTTTATAGGAAAATATATATCATCCTATAGGATGACTCATGATAACATATATTTTTTATAAATAGGTTTCCATGTGGTGTCTTATATGAAATCATGTAGGTTCCTATGTAGGATCCTTTAAAGATTCTTCTATCAGTAGGTTCTTACGTAGTGTCCTATATAGGATCCAATGTGGATTCTTATAGGATTTTTTAAAGGAATCTATGCAGGTTCCTATGTAGGAAAACTTCTGTAAGAAAATATATATTATCGTATAGTATGAGTCATAGGAGCCCTATAAGATAACATATATCTTTCCTTTATAGGATCTTATATATATTCATATAAGAATACATGTAGGTACCTACGTAGGTTCCTATACAGGTCTGCCAATAAAAGGTTGTTTACTTAGTTATGTATAGTATTTACAATAAAATCTTGTATACACAAGGTCCTTTTTGAAACGAGGATTAATATATATAAATCCTATTTAATATTAATTGTAATAGGCATCCTGTAAACTCAAAATTTCCGCCACACGACGACCTAAAAACCTTATTATTTTAAGATTTTTCTGGTTAAATATTAAATTTTATTTAATTAAAAAATTTATAATTACCTTGAGCATTTTTCTGGATTCCACTGCGTAATTGTGAGTATGCTCTAATAGCACGGAAACTTGCATGGTAAGCTTGCCGCAAGCTTCTATGCTATATAGGTAACAAGATGAAAGATGGCTCATTTTTTATATTTTATACTCTACGAATGTAGATATAACTAACTTGAATTATTTTTTATTCGATTTTATAATTTTAAAAATTACCATACGAGTTTAAAGTTAATCTTATATTATGTGTTAAATTTAATTCATAAGTAGATTATAAATTGCTTTTTTATATGTCAAATTGAAAACTTTTTGCCATTAAAATCTGTTTTTATTTTATAATATGTGGGCGATACCTTCGATGCATTCGATACATTCAATTAACATTTTATTTTCTAATATTATTACAAACAAACAATTTTCGTTATTTACAAACCACAATAATAATTGTTTCGTCGATAAGATCAAGAATAACTTAAAATGCTTGACAAACACCAAGCGCCTTAACCTTTTTACCTTTAAGATGGCTAATTGTTTATAATAATAATAATAATAATAATAATAATTTCAAAAATCTTTAAAATTTTAAACATTCGCAAATTCAAGTAATTCAAGTGAATGAAATCTAAAAAAAATTTGAAAAAAAACTTTTCAAAAAAATTATATTTTTCATGTAGGTTAAACAAATTTTTTGATAATTTGATTATTCAAACAATTTCCAAAATGAAAATATTCTACAGTTTTATTATTATTAAGAGCTTCGATATTTTATCTCCTAAAATTATTTACTTTTAGAAACGTTAAAAAATGCGAAACAAATTTAATGGTTTTCAACACAATTAATTTAAATCGTAGAGAATTTATTTCTTTTTAAAAAATTGTATTTTAAATTTAATTAATTTACATAGCTTATTGTAAAAGAAATTATTATTTTACTTAAAATTTTAGGAATTCAAGGTTTTGGTTTAAAATACAAGATGATTTCAAGGTTTTCAAAGTTAAACAAAATTTAGAGAATTGAAGCGGTTATCAAGAGTTTTAAGACTGACTAAATATCTAAAAAATATATTTTTTTGTACTGCTTTTAAAAAGTAGTTATTTTTTTGGTAGATTTTCCAAAATTCGCTAATTTTTAATTGACCTGTAGCAACCCTGCTTTTTGGAAGTGAAAAATTGTTTTGGGAATTAAATTTTAACTTATTTCTGCAGTACATAATTTAATAAAAGAATTTTTTATGATATAAAAAATACTTGATTGAAATGATATACATTTATTTATTATTTAAATATTACATGTAATAATTAATTTTAGGATGTTATTAGTATTGACCAAAAAAATGTATAGTGCGATAGATTTAAATTTTAATGTTTTTCTTTTTGGTCGATATTTTACATTTATTATAATAATAACATATATTAGCTTTCGTCTTTCAATGAAAGACTTCTTCAGATATCAGAAACTAACTGGTCGTAAATAATTTTTAAAATACAACATGTGTTCACATATTTTTATACGGTGCGAAAACCATCATGTTGAACATGGGGAACACGCGTTTCGCATAAGTCTGTCTCTGTCACACTCATGGGCTGTGTTCAACATGATGGTTTTTTTACAGTATGTTGTATTTATAAAAAAATTGTATTATCCGTTAAATTTGGTTAATCGAAAGACTGTTTCTGATATCTGAAGAGGTATTTTATTGAAAGTCGAAAGCTAATATATGTAAATTCCTAAAATTTAAATCTTTCACGTTATACAAGAAATAATATAACATGAAGAAAAAGAAAATCAAATAAGAATTCTCTGTTATAAAATTTAACATTTCTATCACAACATTAATAACTTTGGAATCCTTCTTATTAATTATGTTTAATACTTTTTTGTATTCCATTATAGAATTTAACATTTCTATAATAATATTAATACTTTTTTAATCATTCTTGTTAGTTATTTAAATTATAAAAGAAATTGCCTTACAAGTGACGGCAGTGATTAGGTTATTTAAAAAAAATGATTCTTGGTCAGTTTGTCAATTTTGTGAAAAGTGTCAGTCATTTGAGAAAAAGTGATCAAAAAGTGTTTATACCAATTTCACGCCATTTAAACCGATCTGTACCGTTACATATAAGGCGATAACCATTGCCAGAAAATTTCAGAAAACTTCCAGCACTTTTCACTGAAAAAGTTAGTTTACATATTTTTATTTAAATTTTAAATCAATAAATTTTCCGACTTATACACTTATAATCCTTATAACTTTATAACAAAAAATTTTCAGCCAAATAAAACAATAACAGTCGTCTAAAGTTTTTTAAAAAACATTATTTTCACAGCAAACGTGATTTTCAGTCTTGATCATGCTAAATCTGCCTAAATTAAAATGAATTCGTTTATAGAATTAAGTTTTTAAATAAAATTCCATATTTAATTGTGTACAGTCGTTAACACGTCGTTAACGTTAACGCATATTCGATATGCCGTATAGGTTGTGTACTTTGTACTTTATTTTTAGTTTATCCCGTAAGGCAGGGTAAAAAAATGAAATAAATAATAAAATAAAATAAATAAAAATAATAAATATATATAATAAATATATAAATAAAACTAAATATAAAATAAAGTATCCTGTGTAATATCGTCGGTTAGCTGCAGAAACGTGACACTTTAGACTAATCTTGAAAAACGTGCCGTTTCAAAAAAGATTTGGAAAACATGCCAATTCAGAAATGAGTTTCTTTTGTTTTTTATTTAAGTTGACAGTACTGAAGGTTATAAAGTTTTACAAAAATGACTTTTCAAGATGTATTTTCCATGATTATTTTTTTTGAAAAAGTCATATTTTGAACAATTTTTTAAATAGACTTTTTAAGTTTACATTATTTGAAGGATACTTTTTTTTATTAATTTACAAAGATTTATAACATAATTAAAATCTTCAATAATGTCAACTTAAATAAAAAACAAAAAATCATCATTTCTGGATTGGCATGTATTCCAAATCTTTTTTGAAACACGGCACGTTTTTCAAGACTAGTCTGAAGTAGCATGTTTCTGCATCCAACTGACGATATGCTAATTTCCAGTTGTATTTGAAAGTGTTATAGATAATCAATAATAAATTGCTTAACGGGATGAAATATTTGAATGAAAAAATTAATATATGACATTGTTAGCCAATATACGAAAAAGTTTCACGATTCCCAGTTCTTTTTAACATGTAAATAGAAATTTCTTACCAGGTAAAAAATATCCTGCCTTACGCTCGGTGTTACAAAGTAGAAACTTGAACTCGCCGGGTTATATTTGGTGTAGCGTATATTAATACTGACATTAATATTAAAAACGAACGAATAATAAACGTTTACAACGAATTTAAAACAAAAAAAGTAGTGTTGTCGCAAGACTCGAAACTTATTGAGACTAGCCAAGATTTTGAGGAAATATTGTTTTGTCTTAACTGTCGACAACACTGAAGTTATAAATATAATAAAAATTTAATATTAAAATTAAAAGAGAAATACCGTTTTTTTCATTTTTCTTTTAATCTGTAGAGGCCGATGAATCGTATGGTTCCTCTTGTTTCTCTTTTTTCTTTTTATTCCTGTCATTTATCGCATGAGTTAGTGTCGTTTTGACAATTTTAACCTGGTTGTTAATTCTTGAACTATAACGGTTTTTCTCTGTGGACATTTTATCTCGATAGAGTTCTGAAATAAAAATGTTACCTAACATAAGGGATCGTCCACAAACTTTAGGGGTGGGGGTATTATCAAAATATCACGCTACATGTAAAGAAATGGAAAAAGCAGGGCAAAAATATCACGACGAGGGGATATTAAGAAATGAATAAGTACCTTCCATTGCCAAGATTTTCCTTTTGGAAATTGCCTTCCGCACTTGCCCATCACTTCTGGGTTTTGCCTTTTTGAGGTTAAGGCACATATCCTTCATGCCGTCTTTCCAGATCGCCTCCGCTAATGCAATCACGAATGGTCCTGGTTGATATAAATCTTTTATGTAATCCCATTCGTAAATGTTGAGCAAAATTCCCCTGCCGAGGTAAATCTTTTTAAAAAGAAACAAAATTATATTAATTAAATAGGACAAGTGCAAGCAATGTTGGACAGTACCGGTAGTCGAACACTTGACTGTTTTTTTGTCAAATTAATAATAATGCACTGCAATAATTATTTTAAATAATAACAAACTAAAAAGAGAGGTATACATTGAGGGTTTATACAACTTTGTAAATTTAAAAAAATGGAATTTTTTTTACAGATTTCATAATAAACATAAAGATCCGAGCAGCCCTGATACCATGATTTACCATGGTACTTGGAATCGTCCCTCACAGGGTTCACAGGGTAAAATATGCTCAAAAAAGGGGAACAGGGGAAATTTTGATTTAAAAAAGGGGAAAAATAAGGGAAAATCTAAATGTATATTTTCTTACATCAAAGTGATTTAAAGTTGTTTTAAATTATACTCCTAGTCAGAATATTATGAGATCACACATTTTTTGATGAATAATAAAATTCTTTAAACTCAGAAAGTTTAGAAACAAAAATTTTTTTCTCTAAATTTTTTGAAAGATGATAAAATTATAATGAAGAGTGAGACTTAAAAGAAGAAGTTTTCCGAATGTTATAATTAAATTTTTTTATATGTAATTTTCAATTTTTTATAAAGATTTGAATTGCACACATCTAAAATAAATGCTTTTCATTTTTTAGAGCTTATTTTTGAAGTAATTTTCTACAGAACCCATGTGGAAAGGTTTTAAGAAGTCATTTATGGAATTTTTATGGAAATATTTCCAAATGGGAGTTAAACTTACTTCTAAACTAACATGTAATTTTTTTCTTGAAAAATGCGACTTTTTTAATTTTATGAAACTAAAAACTGTCTTGTAAAGTATACAAAACTTGATTTTATTCAGATTTTTCAAAAAAACTACACAAATTAAATTTGTTTAAACTTTAATGATGAATTTTTTGTTAAAAATTTTTTTAAAATTTTTCTAACTTTTTGGTTAAAAAATTGACGTTAAATCTCATAAGTAATACAGATTTTGTAGGAAATTATAGTTAAAAAGAAAACTATAAACGTGAAAAAACATTTAATATTTAAAAAGTGTGTATGTAATTTAAATTTTTATGAAATAGCGAAAAAAGAATTTCTAAATATTAATATTAACAAAATTATTTCTTTTTACTCTTATTCTTTTAATGAATTTAACAATTTTTAGAAAACACAAGAAAATTTTAGTTATTGTGTCGATGACTTTTATATGATAATTAAAAACAACTTAATAATATTTTTTTCTCTAAGTATTAAGATTTGTTATATCTGAAGATAATAACAACAAAATTTACGTAAAAAATGCTATTTATATAAATATATCTTTTTTGTAAAATTAGATTCAACATTAAAAATTTTTGTGCTCAATAAATCAGCCCCACTATTCGAGTTTGAACATAAAATAGGGTAAATGAGTAAAAAATAGGGGAAATGAGTAAGAAATAGAAGAAAAAGGGGAAATATTCATAAAAAAGGGGAAAAAGGGGGAAGAATTGAATTTTTAATTGATTGGAATGTGGAATAATTAAATTTATAATTGATTAAATTTTGGAATAAATTAATTTTCAGTTGATTGGAATCGTCAATAATTGAATTTATAATTGATTAAAATTTAAAATAATTTAATTTTTATTTTTTGTGAATCTGCAGCAATGGAATTTATAATTTATGACAGTTTTAAATAATTGAAATTTCATTCCTTTGGAATGTGTAATAATTGAATTTTTAATTTACTAATATTCGGAATAATTGATTTTTAAATTGGCTTAAATTTGAATAATTAATTTATTCAGGGTTGCTACAAATTCAAAATTTCCTTACATTTTCAGGTTTTTCCAGACCATTCTTCCTAAAATTCCCTGACCAAGAATAAAATTATCGTAATATATTTTGAGTTTATGTGTATCAATTACTGGTAATATTCAAAGTCCAGGCATTTCGCGAAATGCCTAGTAATTTAAATTATATTGCATTTATAAAATATCACAATGTGGAGTTGGACCTGATCTGTTTTTCGATCAAGTGTCCAATTCCTTTTTACAGAAGAATCAGTCAAACAATTTTATGTAAAAGTTAGTCTGATTGTATTTTTGAGTTTTGAAGGAAAATTTAAGGTGTTCTCTAAAACGGAATCAGTGAAAATCTAGTATTTTTTCAGTGCTGCTATTTTCTCACGATTTCAATCAAAGAAATCTGATTGTAAATCAGTGAAAAGTGATTGAAATTTCAGTAAATTTCCACTAATTTGATAGTTAAAAATGATTGAAATTTTCAATAATGGGTCAAACCATTATATTTCAACTAAAGTGGTCGCTGACTAATTTTTAAAAATTATAATACTTTGCAGGAATGATTTTGAAGTTATCAAGATCACGAAATGAAAAGAATTTTATTAAAAATTTAAATATTTATTGTAAAATATGAATTTAAAGTATATGAGGTGCTAAAAACTGTCAATTTTTTAGCCATTAGAAAATATGCAAAAAAACATAGAATTTACCATAAAAATAAAAAAAAATTATTGGAATTTACTAAGAATGAATAAATTTATCATTATCAATTGATATAATTATTTAAAGATGTGAAGTAATATATAAAATATGATTTCCAAGTGCACCTGTCAAATAACCTAATTTTGCGATTTTTATTCATTAATTATAAAAAATAGAAAACATTGAATTAAATAAAAACTTACCAAATATGAAGTTCTTGCCATAAACTTTTAGAATTTCTTTGCACTTTTCTTCTTTTCTATTCATAAGTATGAAAAATTTAAAAAATAAAATAGCTACTTTGTCTATTTTCACTATTTTTGAAAGTCAATAACTTTCTTGGAGAAAAATGAAAAAATATGGGGTTTCGAAAATTATTTAAATACACACTACATATACATTCACTGAAAATTTCGCATTGGTCCCGAAGCTATTTTCGAAGATAAAGTAGTTTAAAAATTTCGTATTTTTTAGGCTATATGGACATGGATTTTAAATCAATGTGAAGGTGGTTCACTGGTGACGACAAACTTCACATTGATTTAATACCTTTAAAACCCATGTCAATATAGCCTAAAAAATACGAAATTTTTAATTTACTTTATCTTCGAAAATAGCTTCGGGACCAATGCGAAATTTTCAGTGAATGTATATGTAGTGTATATTTAAATAATTTTCGAAACCCCATATTTTTTCATTTTTCTCCAAGAAAGTTATTGACTTTCAAAAATAGTGAAAATAGACAAAGTAGCTATTTTATTTTTTAAATTTTTCATACTTATGAATAGAAAAGAAGAAAAGTGCAAAGAAATTCTAAAAGTTTATGGCAAGAACTTCATATTTGGTAAGTTTTTATTTAATTTAATGTTTTCTATTTTTTATAATTAATGAATAAAAATCGCAAAATTAGGTTATTTGACAGGTGCACTTGGAAATCATATTTTATATATTACTTCACATCTTTAAATAATTATATCAATTGATAATGATAAATTTATTCATTCTTAGTAAATTCCAATATTTTTTTTTTTATTTTTATGGTAAATTCTATGTTTTTTTGCATATTTTCTAATGGCTAAAAAATTGACAGTTTTTAGCACCTCATATACTTTAAATTCATATTTTACAATAAATATTTAAATTTTTAATAAAATTCTTTTCATTTCGTGATCTTGATAACTTCAAAATCATTCCTGCAAAGTATTATAATTTTTAAAAATTAGTCAGCGACCACTTTAGTTGAAATATAATGGTTTGACCCTAATATAATTGAAAAACTTAGTTATTTTTTAACTGGTCAATCGGTGGAAAATGATTAAAAAGTCAGTTTGAAAATGAAAAAAAGAGTGAAAATCAGTTATTTTTCACTGATTTCCAATCAAATTTCATCCATTGAAATCACAAAAAAATACCCACAGAAAAACCAGCAGATTTTTACTGATTTAGTTTTAGAAAGTGATAATTTAAATCTAAAATGTGCTTTGCTGAAAAGGTAAAGAACTCAATTTATAATATTCAATTTGTTAATTTGGAAATTTGTAAATTATTTTGTAGTCACAAGAGCGATTTTTGGCACTTCAGAAATATTTAATAATATTTAATTAAATTTAATTAATTAGGTTTAATTTATTTCATAAATTTAAATATTACCTCGTCGTTGATTCGATCATATTTCTTCAATGTAGTTACAGTTCTCGTTTCATTCGCATTTTCCCGTCTGCCAGCCGGTTGTGTACCAGCCTTTCCCGAATTTGTTTGAAGGTGAGGCACTCCTCCATTTTTCGGATCCGCGCGACTGTGATTTTCTCGATTTTCAGAATGTTCAGACTGCTCCGCATTACCATTACTGTTAAAACCACTTCCAGATGCGGACCTTAACGGTGATACAGGAGGGGAAGTAGTTCTATTTTCTGGCTCAGTGTTTTCCTTTTCATTTGAATGATCTCCTTCATCATCCGTCTCGTCACTGGTGTCAGAGTGAACGAGTTCTTTCCTTTCTTCCAACAAAAGTCTCTCCTTCGACTTCTTCATGATGTTTTGCTTTGTTGCTTCGACTGCATCAAGTCGCAGTTTCTGCAGGTTTTTAAAAACTTTTTAGATTAAATTTTTAAATTTAAATTAATTACCCTAATTTTAATAGATCCTGTTGTACAATTTTCAGAAAAAATTATTTTTAGTTCAAATTTGTTATTAAATAATAATTAATTAACTTTTTGTATTGTTACTTAAAAGTTACCTATCCCGGTAAGAAGGCGGGGATTGAATTGAATAGAAAATATGAATACGATCGAATTCCTGATTTTAAAACTAAATTTATTCCCGCTGGGAAACATAGCTAAACTCGAAATCCTATTCACTTTAATTCCGACTACTCAATACTCAAGCATTATTAGTTGTTTTATTGTTTAAATAATTTACAATTTATATTTTAATATTATATTTATTTTTCAAGATTTATATGTTCCTTTTATAGTCCTTGCTACCAAAACCCAAAATTGATGTTAGTTTTGCAATATCTCTTATTATTTACGAGATAAGCTGCCATTTTTTAAATTGTAAGTTTTTTTCAATAAAACTTATATGCCCATAATTATTAGAATTTCAAGATTTAGAATTTGAAATAATTAAAAAATTTTCTTAAGAAACAGACCATTTTTAATTAATTTATTATTAACAGCATGTGATCCCTACGCGAGTTTCAATAAGTATTTTGTCGCACACTTTTTTCTGCAAATATTGAACGAATTTAACTGAAATTTTTTGTAAAAGTTTTAAATTATGTTGAGGAAGGTCTGTTATGTGTGAAACTGCTGATATTTGTTGAAATAATCATTAATATTCATAAAATAATAGAAAAATCGGACTTTGACGTGACTCCTAACATCAAATTTTCCATCAGTTTATGAATGTTTTATTAGAATTATTTCAACAAATATCAACAGTATCGCACATAACAGCCCTTCTTTATTATATTTAAGACTTCCATACAAAATTTTAGCCAAATCCGTTCAGAAAATAGTACGACAAAATACACATAATCTAAGGATTACATGGTGTTAAGGAGCACCGTAAAGCATGTTCCTTTTAACACCATGTGACCCTTAAATTACGTGTATTTTGTCGCCCAATTTTCTCTTAAAATACTGAACGGATTTAGCTAAAATTTTGTATGGAAGTCTAAAATATAATATAGAAGGGCTGTTATGTGCGATACTATTGATATTTGATGAAATAATTGTAATAAAACGTTCATCAACTGATGGAAAATTTGAGGTTAGGAGTAACATCAAAGTCCGATTTTTCTAATACTTTATGAATATTAATGATTATTTCAACAAATATCAGTAGTTTCACACATAACAGCCCTTCCTCAACATAATTTAAAACTTTTACAAAAAATTTCAATTAAATTAGTTCAATATTTGCAGAAAAAAGTGTGCGACAAAATACTTATTGAAACTCGCGTATGGGTCACATGCTGTTAAAGGATTTGGACGGAATTAATGAAAACTATTATTGACTACTCTCAGTAGGATTGGAGCCTTTACATTTTAAGAATTCTTAGCCGGTATTGAGCGGAATTAAAGACGAATGCGTTATGTGAATTGGATATAATTCATATTTTCAGCAAATTTATTCTCCTGAGCGAATTGGAAAAATATTTAAAATCAGGAATTGAATGGGATTAAAAATTGTTGCGCTTGCATTGCAACTCGAAAATAATTCATTACATTCTATCCCCTTTCTCTTACCGGTATGGATCGTAATTTTTATCCAATTTTTATAAACAATAACTTATTTTATTCTCTGAAAGATTCTCTACCATTTTGTTCGTTGCATTTGATTGAAAATATTTTGCTCAAAAGTTATTAAAAAATAAAAATGTCTTTATTTATAAATTTTGAACAAAATTTTTTTAAACAAAATTTAACAAACAGAATTGTAGAGAATCTTACAGAGAGTAAAATGAGACATTGTTTATAAAAATTGGTTAAAAATTACGATTTATAGGTAATTTTTAAGAAAAAACACAAAATGATAATTAACCATTGTTTAACAACAAAAACTCAAAATAATTTTTTCTGAAAATTGTATAACTGGATCTTTTAAAGTTAGGCAGAATCAATTTTAAGTATATTTTTAGTTTTTTTAAAAACTATTTTTAAGTTTGAGGTTATGTTGAGGGGATCGGCCTCCTTAAATTCGTATGACTTACTTTAGCTGCAGACGAATCTTCAAGTTCTTTGTCGTGCACTACATTCAAATTGTCCAACACTTTCTGTGACGGCAATTTTACTCTGGCACCACTGTCTATTTGCTTTTTGATATCTGATTCACTGGCTATAAATATAATATAAAATAATTTAATATGACAACATCTGGCCTCGGACTCACTTCCGCAGTGAAAAAAGTGGCAAAAGTGGCATAAAATGTTGAAAAAAGTGGCATAAAATGTTTAAAGAAGTGGCAAAAGTGGCATAAAATGTTTAAAAAAGTGTCAAAATAGTGGCATACTATTTACAAACATATTTATATATTTATTTATTTATTAAAGCATGTTTATTAAATATTTATAATTATAAAAATGACGTAAATAATTAGTAATTTTGTTGAATAGTTTTTATTTTATAAAATGTTTTTAAAATGCAATAAATTAAACAAAAATCATTTACAAAAGTTTTTGAACGGTAATAGTTTTTGGTGGGATGTTCGATGTTTTCGTGCTTTCTAATTTTTTAGATTTATTTACAGTCTTGGAACTTTTTCGCTGCGAGTTACTAGTTTTCAATTTTTTTGACGACGAATCATCTTTGGGAACAATGTTTTTTCTTTTTCTTGACGTATTTTTTGGTTATACATCAGATTTTTTTTCTTTGATATCTTAGTAGAACACTGACTTATTAAGGGGAGGCACCGATAAAATTATTGTTGTTAAGGGGTGTCAATTTCTTTTTTGGTATAATTTTGGACCCAAAAATTAATATATATTATTAAAATTGAAAAAAAAATTTTTTTGACATTTTATAAAATTTATTTTTTGTAAGAACTAAAATTTTTTAAAATCTATGCGATTGATTGTTCAGAATCATAAAAAAGCATATAAAAAATTCGGCAATGAAAAATAACGAAAATTATGGAAGGAGTTGAATTTTTTAAGGAATTAAAACGAAAAAAAATAAAATTGAATATTTTTAGGGGTAACATTTTTTTTGACATTTTTTCACAACTGTGAAAAATAAAAAAAGTAATTTTTAACTAGTTTCCAAATTTTTTTTATTTTTCAAAATTTTCATTTTTTAAAAAAATGAAATTTTTCAAAATCCATGCGCGTGATTGTTGAGAATCATGAAAAAGCGTATAAAAAATCGTCAATGAAAAATAATTAAAATTGTGAGAAAAGTTTAAATTTTAATTTTTTAAGATTTTTGAAGTTTATTGAATAAATTATTAACAAGTTTATAGTTTTTTTTAATTTTTTAGAGTATATTATAATTTTAGATACTCAATATTGCCGGAAAAAAAATTGACGACCCTAAACAACAATGATTTCGATGAGTTAAAATTTCACCGATGCATTCCCTTAAATATCTGAGTAGAAAAAAAGTGTCTTTAGTGGCATTTTTTTTTAAAAAGTGGCAAAAGTGGCATGAGTCCGAGGCCTGAAAGTCTCTATAACTACATAATCAAAAACACTGATATAATTGAATACCCGGATCAAATATGTCGACCGACGCTCGGACGAACGCTCTATTACCAGTCAAGTAGCAGTGACAGCCTGTGGGCGGCTCACTGCTACCCGACTACCATTAGAGCGTGCGTCCGAACGTCAGTCGACATATTTGATCCGGGTATTCAATTGATGAAAACTATTAGTAAAATTAACCTTTTCTACAAAAACAGAATATACAATGTTTTTTGTAAAAAAAAGTTAATACCTATTTAAAGACAGTTTTAATCGATTATTATCTCCGTGTTTTTCATTATGTAGTTAGATTTACTTTTTTATTTATTTATTTACTTTTTTACTAAGTATAGAATATAAGCTGTATAGAAAATCATTTATTGTCCCTAAAAAAAGACATGGCACGTGAAAGTCGAATCTCAAAACTGGAATACGCGTGCTTATTTTAGATTTTCAAACTAAAAAATATTGAAGAACTGACGAACAAAGATAATCAATATGAAAAATAATTCTTTCTAAAGAAAGCTATAAAGTAAATCACAACAAATGGAGAGAAAAAAAATTTAATTGTTTATAGCAAAAATTTATTTAGCTGTAAACAACTATAAATTTTAAAGTTAAATAAAGAAAATTTCACACTAATCCCTTTCCATTAAACCTATATGTATAGGATCTCTACATGGCTATTTTTAGTACAAATTTCATAAAAAATCTAAATAATTTTATACTAAGAGATAAAAACAATAAATATTATAATAAAAGACAATAATAAATAGATTAAAAATAATAGGATTAAAATTCTATATAGAAATATATAATCTGAAAATAAAAGATGAGTATACGCAAACAACTATTTTTACAAGTTAAAAGACATTTTATTATATTAATTCCTATACATAAGAACCTATATTGGTTCCTATACATATAGGAACCTATATGGGATTCCCACGTTTTTATTTTGAACAGTAATTAATGATAAATTTTAAATATTTATATTCAGACAAATAATAAGAAATAATAAAATAAAAAACAGTAAACAGATAAAAATGCTAGAACTCAAACAAATACTAAAAAAAGTGATAAATATTGAATATAACTACAAAATATTAGAAAAAAGTAAGATATATGAGTAAATGATAGCAACAGAAAAAGGAAAAAAAATTTTATTAAAGTAAAAAACTTGATTGTCAAGAATTAAAAAATCATACGGAAAAAAAACTTATCATATAGGCGTAAAGGACTTTTCGTTGTATTAAGGGGTTAGGGGTAGTCAGAGGCACGAAAAAATGAGAATTTTCAGTATTTTTTTTTGCTATTAAATAATTTTATTTTACAAAAGTAGTGATATGGTATTATTAAATAATGTTTTGACTTGAAGTCACGAAAATTTCAAAAAAAAAAATTTTATTTCCGAAGTTACAGCTGTCTGTGTTAACCCAGTTCCAAAAAAAGGTCTTTGCGGTGACAATCATAAGTCCTTGGAGATTCATCAGAAATCAATCGGATAAAAAAAATTAGTTTTATAAATAAATAATCCTGGGCCTGATCGAAGGATTTTTTTTTTCAAAAATTAACAAAATGGCGGCCTCAGGAAATTTTTGTCTAGATTTTTGGGAAAAAATCAACAGTTAATTGGTCTTAAAAAATCGAAATTTTTCAAAAAAAAAAATCCTTCGATCAGGCCCGAGTTTATTATGTATTCTAAAAGCTGTATAAATTTAATTAAAATCAACTGAGCGGTTTTCGAGTTATAGTTGTCACCAGTTCAAAAAACATAGTTTTGAGAAAAACGCATTTAAAGTTTCACACTAGATTTACGTACAAAAAAAACGAATTATTAAATTACTTACACCGAGTCATCTATTCCTGGGCCATATTAATTTATGTACTACTACATATACCCAAGTCTGAGTTCATCGATGACAATAGAACCCTAAAAGCCGGTTTCTTGCAGCTACCACTAGCTACCTGCTCCCGAGCGCTTTGAAAGGCCCGAGCTCTCTTTGTTATTTGTCGAATAACTTAAAAACGAATTATCGGATTAACTTGAAATTTTCAGAGATTATTTTTAAGATATTATACTTAACGAAAATGCAAAAAAAAAATTTGATTTTTTGAAAATTCTGACTACCCCTAACCCATTAATTCCTATATAGGAATTCCTATAGGAATCCCACGTTTTTATTATCGATAGTAATTAGCAATAAATTATGAATATTTATATTTGGACAAATAAGAAATAAGAAAATCAAAAACAATAAACAGATGAAAATGATAAAATTCAAACAAATAGTAAAGAAAATAATTAATAGAATAAGCACAAAATTTTGAAAAAGATGAAAGATGTAAATATTCCTATTTCCAAATGAAAATAGTATAATAGTCATAAAATTACCAAAATGAAACTAAAATAAATAAATAATAAATAGAAAATAAAAAATCAATAATTATGAAGAAGAAAATTTATTAAAACACTTACTTCCAACAAAATGAAGAAATGCCTCTACTATTTCCTTGCCGGATCTCACTTCCACACGAGTTCCTGCCGTGGGGTTTGAATTTTGCACTAATTTGCGTAATTTTATTATTTCCAATTTTTTGGTTTGTATGAACTGAACGAATCCTTGAGTTACACTCATTTTTCCTATCTTATACAAAAGATTTTATTTGCAGCACTATACACGAAAAAGTTTATATGAGATTATAAATGGACGCATCAGCCACAAATGAAAAACGTGCTTGAAGGAAACCGTGTCTTGACCGTACACCGGATACTGTTTTGGCGGCAACTGTAGCGCACATGCGTTGCCTTCTAGGTTCTATCATATCAGGTGTCAACCAATTAAAAACAGTTTCTTACGCAATATTGCCACTAGAGACTAAATCTCGATTGGTTGAAAAATAATCTGCTCTTAATAAGGTTATGCAAGTTGGGTGGGGGAAAGCCAAGATGGATGATGGCTGGTGCACAAACATCCGGCCTATCAGCCTATCAGCACCAGCCATCATCCATCTTGGCTTTCCCCCACCCAACTTGAATAACCTTATTCCCCAGTCTACCTTGTGTGAGTGCACCTTAATGTATACCTAACCTCATGGTTGAATCATGAATCTCGATCAAAAAATTTGTTCGATTCTGCTTTGACTCTGCCTTTTAACAAGGTGGATATGAATTAATTTATTGTGTATAAATAGATACCGGTATAAAAATTATAGATAGTTTCTTTAATTAAAAAGAATATTAAATACCCAGACAGCACCGTTTTTCGCAGGGAGTTCGCGGGGAGTTCCCCGTGTTAAGTTCGGAAACTAAGTTGGGGAGCTTCAGGGGAAGTTCAGGCGAGCTCTATATGTCCTCGGTTTTATAACTCGCGGTGCGAAGTTCAGGATAGTTATCCGATTAAGTTTGCCGAAAAATTGTGGATAAAAGTTTAGGAAATATTAAATTTTAAGTTTTACAGAAATTTGCTTTGTGAATTTCTTTAAAACTATCTCCGGAAAGTACTCTAAATAAGATATATAGGCAAATTTCCTGTAAAATTAAAATACAAGTTTTCAGTGAATTTTATAAGGTAAGTTTATTATAAATGTTTTATAATATTTATTAAATAAAAGTAAAATTAAAAAAATTTATTTTTCCCTTATTGCGCTTTCTTTTATTTTTCCCCAACATTAACGGCGCAATTTTCGGAAATAAATTTGGAGGAGCTGGGGATTGAACCCAGACGCGCAACACAACAGCTAAGAACCCTAACCACTAACCTAACCAACAACCTGAAGGTGGGTAACTTTCGGGTCTTTATAAGCTGCAAGCCTTGTCGTCATCAGTTGACACGAATAGCGGGAAAATTTAAAAATGTTTTCAACGAAATATTTTTAAATTCTATTATTAAATTAGTGTCATAATTAAAAGGGCATTGAAATAATATTGCAATGTTAAGGGGTAACACCACTCTAGAATTTTCAAAAAAACGATTTATTTTTTTTTTTGTTAAAATGTACTTTAGCATTGTAGAAACAATAGGCAGGTGATCCTATGACGAAAAAAAATTTATTAACCCTTTGAGTGTCACTAATGCACCATATAGGCACTGAACAACGCCTTTGAAAAAATCCATATTTTCAAAAAAAAAAAAAAAAATTTCAAAATCTGACTACAGATTTGTAATCAGTGACCCCAAAAACTTTAGAATTCGTCATGAAAAGCTTTAAATTTGTTGTACTCCGGAAATTATGAATTTTAGAACATTGTAAAGGTCTGCTGGCCCATTGTGTGTTCGTTCTACTTTAAACGCGTTTTTCTCGAAACCACTTTTTTCAAACTGGGAGGACGGATTACTCGAACACCGTTGCATGGATTGATCTGAAATTTTAACAGTAACTACACAATAACCTTCTTTATGGAACTACGTAGCCGTTTTTTGATTTAATGTAAACTTTTTTTTTTATAAACAATTTACTGCTTGTTTTTTGGCAAAAAATCGATTTTTTTTTCAAAGTGCTACCATTTGTACAAATTTTGATTTAAAAAAAAACCCCTACGTAGTTCCATAGTCAATAGGGTAGAGATTCAGAAAATTCTTGGATTTTTGTTCTAGGTCTTACACCTTTCTAGAAAATCGTCCTCCCGTGTAGGTGTTTTAAAAATTCAAGATTTTTGAGCCGGACTCTATCGCCGCCATTTTATATTAAAATAATAATATTAAATTTATTTTTTATACTTGAATATGTGTTAAATAAACCTATCTGAAGAAAAATCCTATTCCTTTTATCCTACTGCAAATATAAATCGTCAAAGTTAGGCTATTTTTCTTACCGCTAGAGTGGTGTTACCCCTTAATATTAATATTATTTGTGAAACTACCAGCTATATAAAACGATTTAAGGTCATTCTTTAAAAATGAAATTTATTAAATACTGAATCTCCTTATAAAAAATTCTGGTCTTGTCAAATTTTTATTAAATTATTATTCAATTAAAAGTAACATAATTAGAAAAACTTTTTGAACATTTATCAACGTATGTTTATGGCTTTTATCATTAATTAATTAATTAAATTTACCGAGATGTATGGTGGACATTTAAATGGTCAATTGGTAATTTGATAAATTAATTTAAAAATTAAAGTATCTGCATTTTATAATAAATATTTATAATTATTTGTCAATAATAATATAAATTATTTATAATAATTGTAAATAAATTTCTTGCAATCATCTTTTTTAAATCTAATAAAAGTGACTGGATGAGTTAAATCCTTCTATAATTAAATTGATGTTGGTACAAAAAAAAAATTTTTATTCTATTTTATTATTTATTATTTATTGATTTTTTTATTGTACCAACATTAATTTAATTATAGAAGGATTTAACTCATCCAGTCACTTTTATTAGATTTAAAAAAAAGTATTAAAATCTAGTTTTGTGGGATAATTGTTTTTTCAAATAACTGTGAACCGTTTTGGAAATACAATTGTTTTTACAATTTTCTAAAAGTCTTAAATAAAAATTATGTCTTTATCGAATTTTGAAAAAAGACAAGTTTTTCACGTAACCGTCTTAAAATCCAGCAATAAAGCTTTTTCCTGTTTTTCCCTGGTCAATTCACAACATTGCTCAATAGGTAAATATTTATTAAATAATAATATATTAAATATTAATACTTAAATAATATTAAATAGTTAAAAATATAAATGAAATAATCGTAGCTAATTACGATTTTTAATTAATTTATAGATATAAAAATTAATAATAAGTTTCTTTATTATAAAAAATATGACAAAACATTGCGTTGTATAAAAAATTTTGATTTAAAGAATGCAAGAAATTTATTTACAATTATTATAAATAATTTACATTATTATTGACAAATAATTATAAATATTTAGTATAAAATGCAGATACTTTAATTTTTAAATTAATTTATCAAATTACAAATTGACGATTTAAATGTCCACCATACATCTCGGTAAATTTAATTAATTAATTAATGATAAAAGCCATAAACATACGTTGATAAATGTTCAAAAAGTTTTTCTAATTATGTTACTTTTAATTGAATAATAATTTAATAAAAATTTGACAAGACTAGAATTTTTTATAAGGAGATTCAGTATTTAATAAATTTCATTTTTAAAGAATTACCTTAAATCGTTTTATATAGCTGCTAGTTTCACAAATAATATTAATATTAACATTGCAATATTATTTCAATGCCCTTTTAATTATGACACTAATTTAATAATAGAATTTAAAAATATTTCGTTGAAAACATTTTTAAATTTTCCCGCTATTCGTGTCAACTGATGACGACAAGGCTTGCAGCTTATAAAGACCCGAAAGTTACCCACCTTCAGGTTGTTGGTTAGGTTAGTTGTTAGGGTTCTTAGCTGTTGTGTTGCGCGTCTGGGTTCAATCCCCAGCTCCTCCAAATTTATTTCCGAAAATTGCGCCGTTAATGTTGGGGAAAAATAAAAGAAAGCGCAATAAGGGAAAAATAAATTTTTTTAATTTTACTTTTATTTAATAAATATTATAAAACATTTATAATAAACTTACCTTATAAAATTCACTGAAAACTTGTATTTTAATTTTACAGGAAATTTGCCTATATATCTTATTTAGAGTACTTTCCGGAGATAGTTTTAAAGAAATTCACAAAGCAAATTTCTGTAAAACTTAAAATTTAATATTTCCTAAACTTTTATCCACAATTTTTCGGCAAACTTAATCGGATAACTATCCTGAACTTCGCACCGCGAGTTATAAAACCGAGGACATATAGAGCTCGCCTGAACTTCCCCTGAAGCTCCCCAACTTAGTTTCCGAACTTAACACGGGTGCTGTCTGGGTAGTGTATAAATTGTGAGTAATTGCTTATATGAGAACGAAGACAAATACCACGATTTTGTAAGTATTCTTTTATTATGTCTAATTTTTAATTTCCATTTTCCTTTTTTTTCTGAATATATTTTTTTATTTAATGCACTTCTTTAATTCATTTAATGTAATTTAATTAATTTTAATTGAAATTAACTCAACTTAAGTTGCCAGAACGTGATTAATTTTGTTGTTTTCTATATTTATCTTCTAAATTTTTCAACAACTTTTAGGTAAATTTATCATTTAATGTTTTGTTTTTAATTTTAAATATTTTATTTTGATCTGTTATTAATATTATTTGTTCATGTTGCTTGAAAATAAATATTTATAATTTAATAACAATTACTGCTGATAATAAAAACGTGGGATTCCTATATAGGTTCCCTATAAAGGAACTAATATAAGAAATGTTCTTTAACATTATATGAAGATTTTCGTTTTTCAAAACGTTTTTTTATTGTTCATATTACAGTTTTTACTTTAATTTAAAAATTTTCTATTTTTTATTGTTTTTATTTAGTTATATTTTTTATTTTTGTCCAATATTTTGTAGTTATTCTATTTATCATTATGTTTAGTATTTCCTTGAATTCTAGCATTTTCCATCTATTTATTGTTTTTTTATTTTATTATAAAATATTTTTTACCTCATAATAATTTATTATGATTTCTTATTATTTATTATTTGTCCAAATATAAATATTTATTATTTATGACTAATTACTACTGAAAATAAAAACGTGGGAATCCTATGTAGGTTCCTATATAGGAATTAATATGAAATATTCTTTAAGACTATATGAAGATTTTCTTTTTTCTAATACGTTTTTTTATTCTTCATATTAAAGTTTTTACTTTAATTTAA